GTTTCTGTAGCTGTGACCTTTTTCCAGAATGTCATTTTGGTTGGAAATCGTAACAGTTTTGTAGCCCTTTTTCAAGACTGGCTTTCTTCATTTAGTAATATGTCTTTTAAGTTTCTTCCATGTCTTTCATGGCTTGATAGATCTTTTTTTTTACTGCACATATAGTTTTTAATTTACATGTGTGTACTGTTCATTGTTTCTAAGAACGTTTAGAGCTTTAGCTTTTTAAACTTACATGTTTATCAAAGGAATAAAGCCAACCACAAAATAAGACTTAATTCAAAAAGATACATACACCTTGCTATTAACAGCAACATTATTTATAATTGCCAAGATATGGAAGCACCCTAAGTATACATCAATAGTTGAATAGATAATGGAGATGCAGTGTGTGTGTGTATGTGTATGTGTATCTAAAGGAATACAACTCACCCATAAAAAAGAAGGGTATTTTGCCATTTGCGGCCCTTCATTTGCTTTTTTTTTCCCACTTCAAAAACCAGAATTTTATAACTGGCAGAGACATTTCCATTACATCAAAAACAACAAAATACCTAGAAATAAACTTAACCAAGGAGATTACCTATACTCTGAAAAACGAAATGACACAAAGAAATGGAAAGATTTCTTGTGCTCTGGGATTGGAAGAATCAACACTGTCAAACTGGCCACACTGCCCAGAGCAATCCACAGATCCAACACAACCCCCATCAAAATACTCCCAACATTCCTCACAGAACTAGAATAAACAAGTCCAAAATTTATGAGAAACCACAAAAGACCCCCAACAGCCAAAGCAATCTTTTGTAGGTCTCTTTTTTTTTCTCTTGCTTCTTTTTGTTCTCTTTACTTACGGTTTGATGACTAGAGGAGGTCCTTTAACATTTGTTGTAAAGCTGGCTTGGTGGTGCTGAAATCTTTTAGCTTTCGTTTATCTGTGAAGCTTTTGATTCCTCCATCAAGTCTGAACAAGAGCCTTGCTGGATAGAGTATTCTTGGTTCTAAGTTTCCCCCTTGCATCACTTTAAATATATCTTGCCATTATCTTCTGGCCTGTACAGTTTCTGCTGAAAATATCAGCTGATAACCTTATGGGAGGTCCCTTGTATGTTATTTGTTGCTTTTCTCTTGCTAATTTTAATATTCTCTCCTTATACTTAATTGTTATCAATTTGATGACTATGTGCCTTGGTGTGTTCCTCTTTGGGTTGATTCTGTGTAGAACTCTCTGCACTTCCAGGACTTGGGTGACTGTTTCCTTTCCCAAGTTGGGGAAATTTTCGGTTATTGTCTCTCCAAAAATTTTCTCAGGTCCCTTCTCTCTCTCTTCTCTTTCTAGGACCCCTATAATGCAAATATTAGAGTGCTTCATGTTGTCCCAGAGTTCTCTTAAACTATCCTCATTCCTATTTATTCTTTTTTTTTTCTGTTCTGAGGTAGTGATTTCCACTAATCTGTCTTTTAAAAGCCCACTGATCCACTCTTCTGCCTCATTTAGTCTATTCTTGGTTCCTTCTACTGTGTTGTTCATTCTAATGACTTTATCCTTCAACTCTATTTGGGTATTCTTTATAGTTTCTAACTCTTTGTTAAAAGCTTCACTCTGTGCATCTATACTCCTCTTGAGTTCTCTGAACATCTTGGCCATCATTACTTTAAACTCTTTCTCAGATAAATTGCCTGTCTCCTCATCACTTATTTCTTCTCCTGGGATTTTACCTTGTGCCTTGGCCTGGGAGATACTCCTTGGTGCCGCCTCATACCTATCTTTCTATGTGTGTGTGGATTCCTTCCACAGGCTTTGGGATTACTATTTTCTTGTTTCTAGTATCTGCCCCTGGTGGATGAGGCTGGACTAGAGGCTTAGGCAGGTTTCCTGGCAGGAGGAGCCAGTGCCTGCCCGCTGCTGGGTGGAGCTTGGTCCTGGACCTCTGGTGGGTAGGGCTGTGTCTAGAGGCCTTTGTTGGGTCTCCTTTATTTTAAAAATGTAAATTCTAATACCTGCTTCACAAAGCTGTTTTAATGATTAAATCTGGAAGTACACAGAAGCACCTAGCATAAGGCCTGGTACACCTATCTCAAAAATGTTTCAAAACATACCGTGTTACTAGGGGGAGTGGGGTGAAGGGGACACAGGAACTCCCTGTACATTTTTTGCAGCTTCCTGTGAATCTGTCATTATTTCAAAATCAAAAATTAAAAAGATAGATGAGTTATCTTTTGTTTGAATTGTATCATGTCATGATGCTAATATATTTTTTTTCACCAAATGAAGGATCAAGGACCAGAAACGCAAGCACTTTTGTCACAGAGTTACACGGACGTGAAGTTGGCATGGAAGCCCTTTCTCCTGACTCATAGAACCAGAGGGCAGCGGTAATGTGGAAGGACTTTAGAGTGAGGCATAGCTTAATCACTGAGCTTATCTGGGTTTGAATATGTGGTTTCTTATGGTTTTTTTCCGGGTTCAACTTGACTCATCCATTCAGATTCAGATTAATAAACACTTCCACAGCACGAACTCCACCACCCACAGGGGCAGTGTATTCCATGTCGCTTTAAATGTAATTACAACTAACGCTTTCCACATTTTAAGAGAAAGGCATGAAGAAAACCAACACTGTCGTTTGAATCCATGAATGCTCACTATGTTCACACCTTGGTTTTCCTAGCGAAATAAAATGTGTGGAACAAACTGGATGGACACCGTACCTTGGCTGGGGAATTGAGTAACTACAGAATTCCTCAATGCAGAATCCTTCAGGCTCTACTGATGTGGAGCACTGTGTGAAGCGCTGGAGTGCTTGGCTGATGGTGACACTGCAGATAGGAAACAGGCTGCGTTTTCCTTCATACTCAGTTTACAGTGGTGGTTCCAAGTTGCACTACTCTGCTCAGAACAAGCCTGTTTTAAGGAACGTGCAGCTGGGGCTGACCGTGGACAGAGCTGAAGTTCTGTTACATCTAAGGGCAGCCTTCAACTCCTGGAAGCAGAGAGCAGCCTGAGTAGAGAGAGTTCTGTACAGGGCTCAGTTCTGTCACTGTTTTCTCCCTCTGTTCTTTCTTCTTGTTTTTCTAGGGTAGCATGAGAAAGTGTATCTGTAGCTGATGTGAAGAAAGGGGGATCCAGTGTCTTTGAAAAACAAAACCAAACTCTGAAACCTCTAGGAAAGGCTAAGATTTCACATTTTGGATGTCATCCTTTTTTATTTTATTTTTTTATTGAAGAGTGGTTGACTTACAATGTATATCAGGTGTATAACAAAGCAATTCAGTTACCATATATATATATAATCTTTTCAGATTCTTTTCCATTATGTGTTATTACAAGAAATTGAATATCGTTCCCTGTGCTATATAGTAGGTCTTTGTTGTTTATTTTATATAGAGTGATGTGTTTGTTATTCCCAGACTCCTAATTTATCCCTCCCCTGCCCTTTCCCCTTTGGTAACCATAGTTTGTTTCCTATGTCCGTGAGTCTGTTTTTGGTTTGTAAAGAGAAATTGTATGTTTTTTAAGATTCCACATATAAGTGACATCACGTAATACTTGTCTTTCTCCGTCTGACTTACTTCACTTAGTATGATCATTTCTGGGTCCATCCATGTTGCTGCAAATGGCATTATTTCATTCTTTTTCATGGCTGTGTGCCTTTGGATATATAAACCACATCTTCATCCACTCATCTGTTGATGGACATTTAGGTTGTTTCCGTGTCTTGGCAATTGTAAATACTGCTGTGAACATTAGGGTGCATGTATCTTTTCGAATTAAAGTTTTCTCCAGATATATACTCAGGAGTGGGATTGTTGGATCATACGGTGGAATGTCATCTTGACATGGAGCTTTAAAGGGGGCTAAAAGAAGCAGAGAGAAAAGATAAGAAAAATTCCACACAAATATTTACCTTTATACAGTTTACCAAAATATGTATAGGAGGCTTTAGGTAAGAGATTGGCTAATAAAAAATATATATATTCTTTTTACTGCCAAATGGCAGTTTGTGAATGACATCTCATCAACCTGGCTAAAAAAAAAAAACCCACAGAGATAAATGAAAATAAAGATTAAAACATTTGTTTAAAAAGCATTTACTCTATAAATATTTCTTCATTTTCAGTTTGATTCATTTTTTATTCAAAACGATGACTAATCTGCCTTTTATATACATTCAGCTCCAGGAATGATCATTCTGCAGAAAAAAAGTAAACAGTTGAATTACCAATACAAAAATTAATAAATGAGATAGCATCAAGCCATGTCAGGTCAGGGTTTTTTTTTGGTTTATTAGCAGTATTTTCCCCAGGATACTTAATATGTTTGTCTGAAGAGCCAAATTCACCAATTTCCAAAACTCCTTGGCTACTAAGAAAAGTTTTCATTATCACTCGGAGGAGGACTTATTCTGAAAAATTCAGGCCTTAGCAGTCACATATTTGGATAATACTTTTGAAAATAGTGACTTGTGACAATCCCTCTATTTTGCAGATTGTAGTGGAAGAGGAGGTTATTCAAACTTTGTGTTCTGACCACCAGACACACAATTCCTGGCACCCATGGGCTACCATGTAAGTGAAGTTGGGGTAAGAGTACACAGAATAATAACTGCTGTTCTTTGTTTAAATATTTTTTGCATTTTAAAATTTGTGTATTTTACAATATATTTTTAAAACTGAAGTATAGCTGATGTACAATATTATATGTTACAAGTATACAATTTAGCGATTCACAGATTTTAAAGGTTATACTCCACTTATAGTTATTGTATAATATTGGCTGTATTCCCCATGTTGTACATACATCTTTGTAGCTTATTTTATACCTGATAGTTTGTACCTCTTAATAGTCCACCTCCATCTTGCCCCTCCCCCTCCCATCTCCCCACTGGTAACCACTCGTTCCTTCTCTACATCTGCGAATCTGTTTCTTTCTGGTTATATTCACTAGCTTGTATTTTTTTAGATTCCACATGTAAGTGGTATCACATAGTATTTGTCTTTGTCTGACATTTCACTTGGTATGATGCCCTCTAAGTCCATCCATGCTGTACACCAGAAACTAATACAATATTATAGATCAACTGTAGTTCAGTTAAACAGCAAACAAACAACTCATTTAAAATATGGGCAGAAGAACTGAACAGACGTTCTTCCGAAAGAGGAAATGCAGATGGCCAACAGAAACATGAAAAGTTGCTCAAGATCACTAACATCAGGGAAAAAGTATCATTTTTTTAAGAAGAGGAAACAAAGTGCTTTGTACAGAGTAAATAACACTTTTAAAACCATTTATTGTGTCTTTGGGAAGGGACTAGAGAGGAGAGAGAAATCAAATGTCAGAAACGTGTTTGTGCTGCGCGGTGAATTAGGACGCCCTCATCTGAAACATCTAAAAGCCAGGCTGCCTCCAGGGACCTGCTGTCACAGGTATGATAATCCTGAACAACACAGACAGAGTCACATGGCCCCTCCTCCCTGGCTGCCTTCCAGAGAAAGTGAGGTCAAACTTCCCGTGACCCTACCTACCCAAGGCAGACGTAGTCGGACTTGGTCCTTCAGTACCACAGGTACCTATTTGTATTTGTACGTACCAAAACCAAGTATTTGGTACACAACCGCTGTTTTATCACAATCACTGAGAATTATAAGCCCGACTTTACTGGGCAGGTCGTCCAGATAGTTTTCTTGGTCTTTGAAATGTCTAGGGGCCGAGGCGGAGTTGGCACTCTGTAGGTTCTGTGTTGCTGGAAGGAGATCACCAGTGAGTATAGACCACCAAGTCCCCCAGCCGCCGCCTCCTGCCCTCCCCCGGCCTCCACAGGGAACAGCTCCCACCGATCCAGTCGGCTGACAGTTTCTCAGTTTCCAACTCCTTCTCATTTTGAGAGTGTCAACTGAATTCACATAAGGGTGTTCTGCAAGGGAGACGAGAAACAGGTTGTGACAGTTTGGCTTTTAGTTGTAATTATTCTACATTGGAGAAAATGGGACACACACCTATAGTTACAGATGCTATTCCAGTTTTTCTCTCTCTCAGAAACTGAATATGTACTACACAATATAGCTTAATACATACTATACAATATGTTCCATCTTGTAACATCAGAGAGCGAAGTTTTCAGAACAGCTATGTAGAACCTATTTTATTACAGACTTACGAATTTCAGAGGGCCAGAGTTTTCTTTTTGAAATAATACTTTGCTATTCTTTACTCTTTTAAAAAAGGTTTTTGGGGTTGGATTTTATTTTATTTTATGAAGGTACTGGGGTTTGAACCCAGGACCTTCTGCATGCTAAGCATATGCTCTACCCTACCCCCAAGACCTGATTCCTTAAGGGCATTAAATGTAATAGTCTTTGGTTAAGACCACAGTACATACTATTTACAATTCCCTCTCCTCCCCAAGAGCCCAGACTCCCAACGTGGCATCAGTGAAACAAGTCCTTGTTTTGCCGGCTACTGAGGAGGTTACCACTTTGGAGGCCTGGGGTAGACATGGAGGTGGACTGGAGTCAAGGAGCCAGGACGGTGTGAAATGGAGTCAGAAAACCTGGGTTCAGTCCCCACTTCACACTTGGGACTTTGCCTTAATTACTTAACAGAGGGTAAAACCCGGGAATGATACACATAATCTGTGATACACATTTCCGTCGAGCACCTCAAGTGCTGCTAATAATTGCAAGGGGAATAAAGCTAACGTCAGGCACCGTTCCTCCAGCACCGCGGGGATGTCCAGGAGCCGGTCTCGGAGCCGGTCTCGGTCCCCCACGTTCGCTGACCCCGAGGGGCGGCATCCCCCTCCCGCTACCACTGGGGGGCGCGCCCCCCGCGGGGCGAATCTGAACCCGGGGCCCGCGGGGCCCGGCGCGCAGCGCTTTGTTCCCGGCGGAGGCGGCGCTTCCCCGCCCGGAGGTGGGCCCGAGCCCCGCGCCGAGCTGGCGCCGGTGACCCAATAAAGCGCGCGGGCGGCGCGGCCCC